ATCACAATTGTACTTATGTACATTTCTATCAAAAACACGAACTTATTTACAATTGCATTTCTATCAAAAACACGAACTTATTTACAATTGCATTTCTATCAAAAACACGAACCAAAAACTCATTTTCTACAAAATTCTAAACGGCTTCCCTGCAATGTCTAATATGTCGAGTCAGAAACAACAATGGCTTCAAAAACATCCTATTTTCAGACAAACAAAATGTGGTTTAGTCTATAATTTTTATCTCTGCAAGAAACCGACTTCCCACAAGCAATTAAATCCCTTTCAATTTATTTTTAGTAACGTGTGGGCGTCTTCGTCATTGAAATGCGGGTTGTTTGTACAAGTGAATGAAGTATAGGTATAATCAACAACAAAGAATATAGCTTACATGAGTGAATCTCTTAGATTGTACATTTAAAATATGCATGAACCAATACGTACAGCTATATTTTGGGAATGGTCCAGCATAATGTTGATTTTTTATAGTACGTTGTGTTCGAAGGTAGTTCAATGTTAAGTTTGTGTGCACTGATGCGCATTGTTTGTTTATGTGGCTCTATGTTTTGGGTCAATGATAATATTCACGCAGTAATTGGAATTTTCTATGTAGATATTTCTGAGAGTTTGTTGTCAGACTCAGGTTTTGAATGAACATATTGAAGATACTGATCTTTCATTCCATTTTTAGTAATGTTTGTGTAGTAATTCTAATTACAATTATTCTTTGAGATGTCTTTCGGAATCAGTGATAAGAAGTGATTCAGACCTAATTTGTTATACACCTATCCTATAACCTATATCCATTGTCTAACCAACTTTTAACTCCTGAATTAAGTAGTTAATTGGAAGTCGATGACGCTTTACATAAAAGGGAGGTTACATATGGAGGTGACCTGGCTCCAGCCTTAATGCAATATTTGATAATTAACTACAGATACTTAATAATTTATTACAGCTTTTAAAAGCTCCCAAAATTTCAAAAGAGTGAATTGACAATTGGAAGAGATTCTAGTGTTGTAGTTAAATTTAAATTTCCATTCCCAAGTATGGATAAGAATAGACATTTTCAATTACATATCAATTACAAGTTTTATGCTT